AGGAAGGAGGGCAGCCATTGTTTATACTAGACCAGAGGCTCACACGGGAGCAAATTCGGCTCCTGTTAAATTTACTTGGACGTAGTGTTATGGAAACCAGAAGTGTACCATTATCAACACGCTGTCTACAAATTCAAGTTAAGTGTTCTTTCCGAAACCCATGTATCTTCATTTATGGCCATTAATGTCATTATATAGGGTGACCCGGTTAGAGCACGTGGAAGCCTCAAACTAAAGGTAATTAAGCCAGGTCTTTATTGTTCCATGTACTGTATAGTGTTTTCTCTGATGATAGCTTGTCATATATAGGATTCTGGCTTCACAGCTAGCGCACTTTTGACAGGTCAAGACGAGGGAGACTTTGTGCACCAGTTACTGGGTGATGGAAGCTACCTCAAAGAGGATAATTTGGTGTCTACACCCTAGTTATACCTGGTGGACTAACCTGCTGTACTATAAGATAAGGAACCTCTTCAATGTATGTAGTTAATTCTGTAATTTGATTGGCTGCATATATATAAACTAATAAACCCCCCTAATGTGTAGAGGATCGATTTGTGAGATTATGAGATTATTGCAGAAATACAGTCCACTTATCATTATACAAATTGCTGCTATCGAAGTATATAAATTAACGTAAATATAAATTCATATAAATTAAATAATATAAATCTCACAGGTCGGTTCCCACACAAGGTAAGATAAGGGCGTCAACTTAATCATGATCTGTCGCGTGGTCCCGGGCTGCATCTCGGGAGAGCACACAAGGAATGCCTTGATCTAGAGGTGCTGAGTAGGCACAATAATGGCAAGATGGCACCCACCATTCTGGACGTCCAACACCGCTCGGCACACTATCATCGGCGTCCTCGACGATCTGCTTGAAGGACTTTTTAGTTGTGTACCTAACTAACATTTATGTACAGAAGTATTTACCTATAGTGGCCATAAACAAGCTTTGAGACGTCCAACACCGTCTCGGACATGCATGAATATGGCGTACATAGCATAAATGTAAGTCTAAACTAAGCTATCCATAGCGCATCATCCCCTATCTTGAGGTTATCTTGAGATGCTTCCGGAGCGTAGCATCCCCACGGCCCGGTCGTCGACCAGGCCTCCTGGTTGCTGAACTGATCAACCAGGCTGTTCGACGCGGCTGCTCGCAGCCTGACGTACGAATCACAGCCTGGTTGATCAGGTATCCTTTGGAGATGTTTGTCAAGTTCTCTCTTGAACACTGTGAGGGGTCGGCCAGTTATGCCCCTTATGTGTAGTGGAAGCGTGTTGAACAGTCTCGGGCCTCTGATGTCGATAGTTTTCTCTCAGAGTACCTCTTGTACCTCTGCTCTTCAACGGGTGTATTCTGCACATCCTGCCATGCCTTCTAGTCTCATGTGCTGTTATATCTATGTGCAGGTTTGGGACCAGCCCCTCTACTATTTTCCATGTGTAAATTATTATGTATCTCTCCCGCCTGCGCTCAAGAGAATACAGATTTAGGCTCTTTAGTCGGTCCCAGTAGTTTAGATGTTTTACTGAGTGGATTCTAGCAGTAAAGGATCTCTGCACGCTCTCCAGGTCAGCAATTTCTCCAGTTTCGAAATTGGCTGTCATTGTGCAGCAGTACTCCACTCTAGAGAGCACTAGCGTTTTGAAAAGTGTCATCATTGGTATAGCATCTCTAGTGTGAAAAGTTCTTGTTATCCAACCTGTCATTTTTCTTGCAGTTGTGACGGCCACTTTATTGTGTTTTTTAAAGGTAAGGTCTTCCGACATGAGTACACCCAAATCCTTTACATTGCTTTTTCGTTCTATGTTATGTTTTGTACATGGTTTCCGTGTATATATTTTTCATATTTTTTCCGTAGCGCATGAGCTGGAACTTATCTTCGTTAAACACCATATTATTTTCTGTAGCCCATAGAAAGATCTGATCTACATCTGATTGGAGGTTTGCCGTGCCCTCTATGTTGTCTACTCTCACGAAAATCCTAGTGTCATCTGCAAAGGATGATACAGTGCTATAGATTGTGTCCTTGTCAATGTCCGATATGAGGATGAGAAAAAGTACTGGAGCAAGCACAGTACCCTGGGGGACTGAGCTCTTCATGGTTGATGGTCCGGATTTTATTTTGTTGACTATTATACATTGGGTTCTGTTATCAGGAAATTGTAGATCTATCTGCCCATTTTCCCGGTAATTTTGAACGCATTTTGTGTGTAAAACATCATGGTCACATTTGTCAAGGGTTTTTGCGAAATCTGTGTTAGCACTCTCTCAAAGATTTTTATGATGTGCGATTTTTTTAAATTTAAATTTTGCCCCTAGGGGCGAGTTTATTGGGCAGCGCCACTCATCTTGTGAGTGGACATACCGCCATAGCAGCATGTACAACACTCCCCAATAGGAAGAAAACCTGCTGGGTTGTTCATCCTGTCACTTGTGCCCAGACACAGCTGGGACTTGCTTAACTGTCTCAAGTGAACAGCTCCTCAAACAAGAAGATTAACATCTATCAACCCTTAAAAGCTTACGTTATCTTGCGGGTGCAAAATGGGGAAATGTTAGTGCTATCGGTCTGTAATTTGCCTCTGCCTTATTTCCTCCTTTATGGAGTGGTGGTATCTCTGCTGTTTATAGTATGTCAGGGATAGCGCCAGTATCTAGGCTTTGTCTCCACAGAATGTGAAGGGCCTGCAATAGTGTTTTTTTTACAGTTCTTGATGAATATGGAGTTCCAAGAATCCGGGCCTGGTGCAGAGTGCATAGGCATATTGTTTATGGCTTCTTCAAAATAAAGTGGGGATAGGGTGACGTCTGTTATATGATTTGATGTTGGTATCATATCCATGAAAAATTCATTTGGGTTATCAATCTTTAGTGTGTTTAATGGCTCGCTGAAAACAGAGTCGTACTGATTCCTCAGTAACTCGCTCATTTCTTTGTTGTTGTCGGTGAAAGTTCCATCTCCCTTTCGCAGGGGCCCGATACTAGATGTGGTTTTTGATCTTGATTTTGCACAGGAGAAAAAATATTTCGGAATTCTCTCTATTTCACTGATGGCCTTTTGCTCTCTTTGCCTCTCCTGAGTTTTGTATAATTCTTGTAGCTTGAGTTCAATTGTTTCCGTTTCTCTACTTACCCTTCTTCGCCGTTCTTGAGACAGGGTGCAATCCTCAAGTTGTTCCGCGATTCGTTTTCTTCGCCTATATAGGAAACGACGTTTCCGTTCCAATCTGCATCTCTTCCTCTTTTTTCTTAGGGGTATGCGGTTTGAGCATATTTCTAGTGCTACTGAGCTTATTTTTTCCAGGCACTGGTTCAGGTTTACATTTTCTAGCTGTTCTTACCAGTTTATTTCTGTGAGGTCTTGGTTTATTTGCTCTCAGTTTATCTGTTTATTATTGAAGTTGAATTTGCTGAAATCTCCTCGACTGGGAATTGGGACTGGTTTTGAAGGTCTATTCCCCATGCTTGTCAGAACATCAATTAAGTTGTGATCTGAGTAACAGGTGTTTGTAATCATTATGTTCCTGATCAATTCATCATTATTGGTGAAAATGAGGTCCAGCGTGTTCTCCTTCCTAGTTGGTTCTACTATTTGCTGGTTTAAGGCAAACCTGTCGCACATCCGTAGCAGGTTGTAACGGGGACAATGCATTACTGACACTCTTACCTCACTAACAAGTTCACCCATGGGTGGGTGATGGCTAATCACCCGCCCGGATGAAGGAGATGGTTGGATGTACTCTCCCTCTATGCAACCTGGTTGCTAACTGAATCTACCAGCCACCCCCAACGTGGGAAAGCTGGGTATTCCTCATGCCCTAATAAAGACTGGGACAGACCAAGCTAGCCCTTACCAACCTAAGTACTACCATGTCAGCAGATTGAAGCTAGTCAACACCTCCCTCATACCATCTCACTCCTTACTACACACACACACGCACACACCCACAATTACAATTCACAATTATACATAAAAGAGTGCAAAATACTTGCACTGTTACAAGGCCATTTGCATGTGCCAGTTCATTTAGGCTACTCCTTGGTATTCTTTCTGATATTACTGTATTAGCCAGGTGCTTCCATTTCAGGTGCCGTAGGTTAAAGTCCCCAAGCAGAATGATGTTTGGGGCTGGATTTGTGAGGTTTTCCAAGCAGTGTTCTATTTTCATTAGTTGGTCTTTAAACTGCTGATGATTTGCCTCTGGTGACTTAAATACAAGGACAATAACTACATAGAAGATCTCTATTTTGATTATCAGCACTTCCACCATATCGTTTGTGGTGTTTAGCAGTTCAGTACAGATGAGTGTGTCTTTGATGTAGAGGCTGACCCCACCCTGTAGCCTGTGGTTTCCTGTCACATCTGAAAAGATTGTACTCCGAAATCCATATTTCACCATCATCGTAGTCCTTGGTGTGAGTTTCCGTTAGAGCTGCAAAAACTGCATTTGCCTCATGTAGTAGACCATTTATGAATTGCACTTTGTTAGATTCGCGTGTTTTTATACCCTGAATGTTGGCAAATAAAAATGATGTTATGTTAGTGGAAGTGCTGGATGCTTTACTTGATGTAAATATCTGAGGCTCTGGTAAGGAGGCCATTGTGTTTGCGTCCTCTCCATCATTTGACCGAGTGAGTGGTAGAGTCTGGACATTTTTAGCCATTCTTCTCCTCCTCCTCATGCTAAAAAAAAAATCATCCTGGTAAACAGTGTTGTGGCTGCTTTCCTCGAGGCAGTTTGTCAGTCTTATTCGCCTGGTATGACTTTAAAAGAGAAATTGACAATATGCCCATGCACTCAGCCTCATGTCCTGACTCATGTAATTCAATATTCATAAAGAAATGTAAAGTACTAGTAGTGAGAGCGCTCTGTGTAATATAGAGAAAGAGCCTGGATACAGATGAGATACCAGCATCACTTAAATCTGCAGATATAGCTCATCTGCACAAGTGTTAATGTTATTAATGTTAGCTATTGTCTTGCAGGTGGTGATGGGTCGGCGGTGGGGGTGAGAGGGCCGTGTTGGGCGTGGGGCAGGATGAGCCTTCCCCGGGACGTGCCCTGAGTCCCTACCCTTGCCCACGCCCGCCCTGAACCCGCCGCCGCCATGGCTGCTGACAGCGGCGTGCCGGGACGGCGCTTCTTGTGCCGCGAGTGGGCGTGGGCCAAACTGTGGGCATGCCTAGAGCAGCGACCTGCAGCCAAGACTTGCGGTGCCCTGCTAGTAGGTGGCCCTGGGACAGGCAAGACTGCCCTCTGCACTGAGCTTGTGACGCCTTCGGCATCACACGGCCGCCATGCAACTGCCCTCCAGGCTCGGTTAGTTGCCCATCACTTCTGCCACGCCCACGATGCCGCCTCCCTCAGCGTCGGTTGCTTCATCCAGTCACTAGTAACACAGCTGGAGGGGTCACCCCTCCTGGCCGGATACGGCACCAAGGTGGGGGAGCCCGAGGTACATGCTGCTCTTGAACCATGTACACTTCACTCCAACCCTGACGAAGCTTTTCGACGAGCGGTGCTCTTTCCCCTGCTGGAGCTTGACCCTCCAGACCGCACTCTCCTACTGGTGGTTGATAGCATAGATGAAACTGACTTGCAGCCGTCATTAGCGGGTGCCCCACGTGATGGTACTAATGCCGAAGTCAGTAACAATGGTCCCTCGCGGACCATCGCCGAACTGTTGGCCACACACCACCACCTGCTGCCTCAGTGGCTGCTGCTGCTGGTAACAGCACGCAGGGGATCCCGCACTATTATCAGGCAATTTGCAGGTTTTAGGAAGGTAGCTCTGGATGACCTGCGTCGTGGCCACGTTGTGCGTGATGTGCAACAGTATATACTGTGTCGCCTGGACCGTGAGCCCGCCCTCAGACACCATCTTTCCCGCGAGACAGCAGAAATGCTGAACCAACTCCACATAAAGAGTAATGGTTGTTTCTTGTACCTGGAGCGTGTGTTGGATGGTGTGGCTGAGGGCTGGGTCACATTGCGTGAGATCAGACACATTCCCGGTACGCTCAATGGCCTATACCTGTGGCTGTGTCAGAGACTGTATCCTCGTAGACATTTCCAGCGTGTAGTGCCTTTACTGTCTGTCATCCTAGCTGCTCGTGCACCCCTTACAAAAGAAGAGTTACGTCTGGCTGTGGAAACCCGTGTTCCCACACTCTCTGATGAGGACTGGGGCAAGCGGTGGTCTCTCTTAACTCGAGTCCTGGCAGTGGAACACGATCAGCGGGTCCTCCTCTTCCACCACAGCTTTGCTGAGTGGCTGCTTGACGTTAAACATTGTACACAGAAGTATTTGGTGAATGTTGCCGATGGTCACGCCATGCTGGCCATGCGGCTTTCAGTTGATGCCCCCACACTAACAGTGACGCAGGTGCACCAGCTGGCGCTCCACCTCTCGCGCATTCATCTGGAGGCACCTCTGGAACAGTACCATCTGCCTTTGTGGATAGTGTCCTGTGGTGTACCTCTTAACATCTGTCATGACCTGCCGCCCCCGAGAGACCCCCGCGCCCTCAAGATACTGCAGGAGGCCGGTGCTACTCTGCCCGATGACCAACCACAGGAAGATGAAGATGAGGATGAGGACGAAGATGATGATGATGACGAAGACGACGACGAGGTAGAGGAAGTTGGAGAGGAGGAAGGGCCTCCTACTGATATTAGGTATGAGGAATTGGAGCAGGAAGATGAGGCTGAGGAACGTGGGAATGAAGAGGGTGAGGTGCAGGAAACGTTGCCTCAAGACGAAGAACCCGAAGGTCAGGTGTATCAAGATGAAACTGATAAAATAACAAGTGAAGTTGATGATATGGTTATTAAGGAATTATCTGCTGATGGAGATAAGGAAAAGCACGATGAAGAAGAAACATTTAACATTGAACTGAAAGAGGGAAATGAAAAAAGTGATAATGTAGAAAATGAAAAGGATGAGGAGTATGTAACTATGGTGCCTCTCCCCGGAGAGTTCATTAATGGGAGTACAGGTGGTAGGCGGAGTACTGAAGGGGTCAGCACAGGTGGCCGCCAGAGTACCGATGGTAGACAGAGTACTGGTGGACGCCAGAGCACAAGTGGACGACAGAGCACTGGCGGTCGTCAGAGTACAGGGGGACGACAGAGCACGGGAGGCCGTCATAGCAGTACTGGAGGGCGCCATAGTAGTGATCATAGTAGCAGCAGCAGTAGACGTCGGGAGCGACGAAGGCGGCGACACCGGGAAGATCCGTTGTACCCATATCTCCGTGGAGGCCCTGTAGACCAGGTGGACAGTGCTGGTCGCTCTCTGCTGCACAGTGCTTCTCATCAGGGTGACGCTTCACTTGTTCGCCTGCTGTTGGAGAGAGGAGCCTTCCACGGTCTTCAAGATAGAGCGGGACAGACACCCTTAAATCTAGCAGCACGCCATGGTCATGCTGAGGTAGTGGCAGTGTTACTGGCAGCTGGCGCTGACCCTGATCATGCTGACGCTGACGGCTGGACGGCTCTCAGGTCAGCAGCGTGGGGCGGCCACAGTGGTGTGGTTAATGCTCTACTGGCAGGCGGCACCCAGGTGGACCTCGCTGACGGCGATGGTCGCACGGCATTAAGAGCCGCTGCCTGGGGCGGTCACGAAGATGTGGTGTCAGCGCTCCTGCGTCATGGAGCTGCAGTCAATCGAGCGGACAGTGAGGGCCGCACCCCGCTCATTGCTGCTGCTTACATGGGACACTCTGAAATCGTCGAGGCTCTGTTGGAAGCTGGCGCTGATGTGAACCATCAAGATGTTGACGGAAGAACGGCTCTGAGTGTGGCAGCGCTGTGTGTTCCTGCAAGTGAGGGCCACACCAGTGTCGTCACCACGCTTCTAGAACTTGGTGCCAAGGTCAACCACCAGGATCACGATGGGCTAACTCCACTCCTTGTAGCAGCCTTCGAAGGTCATACGTAAGTGTTATTCACTATTTACCTCCTTGCTTCTATGTAACTTTATTCATCCAGTCTTCCTTTGAAAAACTTTAAAACTTTATGAATGAGAATGGTTTGTCATGAAAACAAGAATTCTTGGTTTTGGGCTAACACACTACAACACACCAATAGATTCTAAAACAAATAACTGGCAGGTACTGGATTCGATTCCCGGGTAGGTCAAGACGTTTGACCGTCTTGACCCTGATTTATACATGATACCTCTTTATCAGTATCATGTTTCTTTATGCATGATACCTCTGTTCAGTTACCTGCTTGATGGGGTTCTGGGAGTTCTTCTAATCCCCAAGCCCGGCCCGAGGCCAGGCTTAACTGGTGAGAATAGTGATATCCCAGTAAATAGGTACCTGGGATTTAGTCAGCTCTTGTGGGTTGCATGTTGGGAAAGTCAAGTCATTGGTTAAGGGCAGTGGTTTCCAGCCTTTACACCAGCAAAGACCCCATGTATTTAAAAAAAAATCCCACCGATCTTCGGGTTTTTAAAGGCTTGTCTACTGAAGAGGCCAATTTTATTAACAAACTCGTTTCCTCATTTTTATCTCTCACTGGAAAGACATGTGTAACTGAGAATGCAATTAAATAAATGACAGCATTCGAACAATTTAAGGAGATGGTTGATGCTGCTCTGTAGACATTGTTTCGAATTTCAGGTTCAAATCCATCAGATTCCACAATCATCTTGTTTCTGTATTTTGAACCGGCTTTCGATGCCAGTTCTCATTTTTCCCATGCAACCAAGAATCTGATAAGTTACATTGAATGAATCTTGACCTCAGGACGGAGCGAAATGTCGTCGTGGCACTATGCTCCCATGTGGGCTAGTGAGAGGTGGTTATTCTCTATTAAACACAAAGTTCTAATGACATCACTGTATTTTGTCTTTCCTAAATGTGGTTATACACTCTGTGATAACTGTGATCCATGTTCTATGAGTGTAATCTTAATATGACAGAGTATATTGAAGTTTCTTTGCGGAGCGCACAAACCCATGACCCTCCCACGCATGGACAACTGGACAACAACCAGTTAAAGTAAAGCTAAACAGCTAAATTAAAGTTTCATCAAAAATGTGTATTTGGGTAAAGTTAAAGCAGACGACAGCTGTGATCAAAATTATAATTGCCATTTGAAAGCCATAATATTCCACATCTCTATAGTTACATCATTTGTATAGGATTGATATTGTTTTGACACTAAAAGGCTCTTATAGATTTGGTAAAGATCTTTACCATTTATGTGATGGTAAAGCGCTTTAAGATCTTATCATTAAATAAATTAGCAGTTAATGATTATGTGCATAGGGCTTCGTTTTTTATTTGTTTGGAAAAGTCATTGGTATAAAGTGTGTAACATACGCAGGGAAGTGTGTGAGCTGCTGCTGGAATATGAGGGGGACGTGGACCACGTGGACCGCTCTGGCCGGACACCTCTGCTGGCTGCAGCCTCCATGGGCCATGCTGCAGTGGTGGAGCGTCTGCTCTTCTGGGGCTGCTACGTCGATCACATAGATGCTGAGGGACGCACTGTCCTCAGTGTTGCGGCCGCCCAAGGCTCTCAGGTGAGGCATAAGGTCTAGGTGTAGTTGCCGCCCAAGGCTCTCAGGTGAGGCATAAGGTCTAGGTGTAGTTGCCGCCCAAGGCTCTCAGGTGAGGCATAAGGTCTAGGTGTAGTTGCCGCCCAAGGCTCTCAGGTGAGGCATAAGGTCTAGGTGTAGTTGCCGCCCAAGGCTCTCAGGTGAGGCATAAGGTCTACATCATTGACTTTACAACGTATGCCAGAATTTCTTGTACATGCCAGACAGAGGTGTATGTTAATAGCATTACAAGTTATTAATGATTTGTATAAGTTATAATGGTTTACATTGCTCCCGTGTTCAGGTGATTACATTACTGTGCTGTACTGTACTCCAATTTGTGTGGAGTGTTGCAGTAAGTGAACGTACAAGGACCATCTCGCACAACAGATGGAATGCACTAGGAAGTGATGTGGTGGAAGCCGGCTTCCTACACAGTTTCAAATGTAGATATGATAGAGCCCAGTAGGCTCAGGAACCTGTACACCAGTTGAGTGACAGCTGAGAGGCGGGACCAAAGAGCCAAAGCTCATCTCCCTCAAGCACAACTAGTTGAGTACAACTAGGTGAGTACAGTTCGGCCCACACAACGTGTTTGTAACATACATCTCATATAGTCGTTGTAAACAGTATATTTACCTAGAAGTATATTCTCATGCCATTCCAAGCATCATAATGTTTCAGGAAGACAAATCGAAACATACAGTTGTAAGGACTGGTCCTTCGAGGGCTACTTGGGGGCGTCTTCTTAGCGCTTTGTGGGACGGGTCTCTCCTCTTCCTGATGAGGTTTGTCAAACCAGCGTGGGTAATTCCTCGGGACATACTTAGCAGAAGGCCTATGCGTTAAGATGTACTCTTCAGCCATGGTGGCTGCCGCACGTAAGGTCTCTACCTGCTGTTCCTCTAAGTACGTCTTCAGATCTCCAGATAGACAGTCTTTGAAGTCCTCTAACAGTATGAGCTGCTCGAGGTCTTCTTTGGTTTCCACCTTCCGAGAGGCACACCATTCTTGGAAAAGCCGCTCCTTGATGGTCGTGAATTCGGTGAAAGTGTGCTCCGAGGTCTTTTTCAGGTTCTTGAACTTCTGCCTGTAAGCCTCAGGTACCAATTGGTAAGCCATGAGCACAACCTTCTTCACCTTGTCGTAATCGCCGGAGTCATCAAGGGACAATGTGGAGTAGGCGATTTGGGCCTTCCCAGTCAAGACGGACTGTATCATGATGGCCCAATTCTCCTTTGGCCATTCCAAAGAGGCTGCGACCTTCTCGAAGGCTGCGAAGAATTTCGAAACTTCCTTCTCGTTAAACTTCGGGACCATTTTGATGTTCCTTACCGGATCGAAAATACTTGTTTCCATTGTTCGCCTCCCACTGCCTAATCGCAATACAGTACTTCTAGCTCATGTTGTCTCTCTTTTCCTTTTTCTTCTCTCTCTCGCTCTTCTCTTTCTCATTTCTCTTCTCTTTCTCGCTCTTCTCTTCATTCTTCTCGTTCTAATTCTAAACGCCTCATCTCTAATTCTTTTCCTAGTCTCTCTCTTTCCATTTCTAATTTCTTATCCTCTCTCTCTCTCTCGCTTTCTCTTCTCTCTCTCTAGCGATTTCTAGCTTTTTCCATTCTATTGCACGGTGGATCTCTAGTTCACGCATTTTCACAGTAAGTAAACTTATATCCAGTTCACTCTCATCACTTTTGACATCACTGCCCTTACCTTCCTTTTCAGTGGAAGCTATTTCCTCACCTTCTTTTATACTATGTGCCTCGCTTTCCTTTTTCTCCTCGGCCTTCAAGTGTTTGTGAACCTTTGACAAGATCTCCACACGGGAATCACTGGCACGTATCTTTATCTCCAAAAAGGCACTCACTAACACAAGTTCTGGTTTCCCCAGATATTTCAATCTGGCAAGACAGTCCTCCTTGTTCAGAAAGGCCTGAACGTCGTCCAGATCATCGATGGTCGCTTTTTCTGCCATTGTCACTTAAATGGAGCACTAGCACTTAACACACCGCTTCACTTTAGCACTTAAGGCACCGAACACTTCACTTGCCACTGTTGCACGTAATTACACCGGGCACCGCACTCTACAATATTGCACTGAATCACTCCGAGCACCGCACAGGACGTATAACGTCCTAATAGTTACACACAGGGGGAATTATTCACAGGGATTGCGCTACTTCACCACCCCTGTCAAACATACTTGACAAGGGGTCGCATCCCGGTGGGGATGCCAATTATGTTACGGCCCTATTGGGTCGCAACTGGGTTCTCCTCTGATGTCATTAGAGTTTGGGTATCCGGCCCAAAGTTAGTAGTGGCTTTCAAGGGGTGTGTTCCATAACGCAAGTAAATTAAAGGGGAAGGGATACAACTGCTCAAATATCTATATATAATCACCACCACCATAAATAAATATATAAACTGTCACACGGGGGGTATAAATACACAATGTACAGAATCGTCTTCCTCTGAAGACGCGGGATGTTCCACAGTGCTCACGATGAGTAGCCCTGGTTCTCTTCTTTGGCCCACGATGAATCCTCCGATTCTCTTGGCGAATCTACCCTGGCCACAGGCCAGCCAAATCACAGTCCCACTGGGTGCACCGTCGTGGAGGCCTTCAACCACAAATCCAGCCTGTAGCTGGCAGGTTCCAATCAGCTCCGCTGTATAGGCCACCCCACGACCGATACTAGGGTTGCGAGCCCTAGGCAGGAGCCTCATGTGATCCCGCGGATCACTCTCCTCTCTATAGCACCACAGTGGCTAGTCTCTTCCACCAGCCAACCCCCGGGTACGACGATTCCTCAACTCCGCCACGTCTCAGGCAGACTAACACTCTCAGCAGTGTTCGTCCGGGGGCAACTCACAGCTTCCTCAGCAAACACGTGGAGAGACTATGGCTGCCTTGGGTAGACTGCCCCATCGTCCAATACAGCAGTCTCAGGTTGACTCTGTAATCAGACACGTCATTAGTACTGGTTACACTCTAGGGCACCTCACTCACAGGCTTAGACACAAACATCCACCTATCCATTCCATAGATGGCGTTGCTGTCTAAGCGCCACCTCACCAGAGGTCAGCAGCGGCTATGTTACGAGCTGATTAAGACGGGAAACCAGCCCCTGTGGCCGGTATATCCCGCCCTCGCTAGATGGCGTCGTCCATTTGGAGGGGGTTTTGGGAGCTGACTCACAGATGGCGTGGTCGTCACCGCTCCGTGCTACGACGCTGGGCTCGGGTCCGTAACACAGATGCAACATTTGAGGAATTCACTGAACAGATCCACAAAATAGAGAATATCCTTGATAATCTAGCAAACCCAGTACCAGATATCATCTTGGAGACTTCAATCTACCCAGTTTAAAATGGAGAATAGTAAACAATAACATCATTGCAGGAAGTCAACCTGGAAATAACCAACCACAGGTCAGAGAACTACTGAGATTCTGTGACAAATTCTCGCTCAGTCAGCAGATTACAGAACCAACTAGGAACGAAAACACGCTGGACTTGATATTCACAAACAATGAGGAGCTAATCAGAGACATTACTGTCTCAGACACTACGTACTCGGACCACAAGCTCATTGAAGTGCAAACTAACATTAATAAAGGTAGTAGGCCCAAGAGAAACAACAAGCGAAAAGAGCTATTCAATAAATTCAATTTTAATAATAAGAGGATAGACTGGGAGAAAATAAACAGGGAACTTACAAACATTCAATGGGAAAATGTTCTAAGAAATAAAAACCCTACACAGGGAATAGAAAAACTGACTTCTGAAGCATATGAAGTCTGTCTGAAACATGTTCCTTTGAGGAACGCCAGAAAGAGGTCCAATGTAGAAAGAGAACGCAGATGACATTACAAAAGGAGGAAGAAATTAACGGAAATGCTTAAGCAGACACGACTCTCCATATAGAGAAGAAATAATTTAAACAGGGAGATTGAAGAAATCGAACAGAGACTGAAGCATTCCTATCAGACTGAAGAAAGGCAACTAGAACAGAAAGCAATTCAAGAAATAAAAAACAAACAAAATATTTCTTCACATATGCTAAATCAAAAGCGAAACCCACTGCCAGTATTGGACCTATTCGTATTGGTGAAGGTTCATACACTGAGGATGACAAAGAAATTAGTGAAATCCTAAAAAAGCAGTATGAAGACATGTTTAGCACTCCGATACTCAGCATGAAAGTGGAAGATTCGGACAATTTCTTTATGAATGATACTCAAACACCTGTAAATATAACAGATATCAACACGAGCGTGGCAGATTTTGAAAGCGAAATTGACAATATGCCCATACACTCAGCCCCGGGTCCAGACTCATGGAATTCAATATTTATAAAGAAATGCAAAGTGCCAGTAGCACAGGCACTCAGTATAGTGTGGAGGAAGAGCTTGGACACAGGGAAGATACCAGATGCGCTTAAAGTAGCAGACATTGCCTCTCTGCACAAGGGTGGTAGCAAAGCATTGGCAAAGAATTATAGACCAGTTGCACTAACGTCCCACTTAATAAAAGTATTTGAAAGAGTGATCAGGAGTCAGGTCACTAGATTCATGGAAACCAATGACCTCCACAATCCAGGCCAACATGGATTTAGAGCAGGAAGATCATGCCTCTCACAGCTACTTGACCACTATGACAAAATCACTGAGGCATTAGAGGAAAAACATAATGCAGATGTCGTATACACAGATATTGCAAAGGCATTCGACAAATGTGACCATGGAGTGATTGCACACAAAATGAGGTCAATGGGTATAACTGGTAAAGTAGGATGCTGGATACTCAATTTCCTGTCCTATATTTATAAACTGAAAAAAAATTGTCTTAAAATATCAAGCTTTGATACCTAACATTAATATATATTGTGTGGTGCTTATTATATATTGTTATATATTTATTAAAAATAAATATACTTTTATAACTTGGAGAAATATTGCAGTGTTATTTTAAAAATTACATAT